CATCCTTCTACAACAATACACATAGAAGACATAAAAGGCACATGAATATTAGCAATCTGTGGCAGAACTAATTGCAGCGAAATGTCAGCTGTTTTTTTTCCCCAGAAAGTGTCACTTGCCCTTATTATTGATACTATTCTAAGCTTGTATGAACTATAAAACCAAAAAGTTTGTTTGTCTAACAAGATATTCTATACTTAAAAGTCAGACTGAAAAGTTTTTTAGCAATAATTTTTGTTAGTGTAATTTAAACTTAACATAATTTCTGGCCAACAATATATAAATATGCACTATTGAAATTGACTGATTTTTATGAAGTGGAAAGAGAAAATACAAGAGTATGTGTTATCATACTAGTTACGAACCATTAAGGCTACTAAATCACATAATATTTACAGTGGGAAAATTTACTGCTGTTACACTGAACGATTTTGCTGTTCCAATCAGTTGCCTTACAAAATTAATGACATATTACTGCATGCTGACAAAAGTAATAACCCTTACCAATTCTTAGTAAATATTGCCAACCTGACAGTTTTGTACAAATGAATGACAATATTTTGACCAAAGAGAACAGAGAATGGAAAAAAATGAAGAGCAAGATAAACATAACAGACTACTGAAGCTGAAAACCATGTTTTACCAGTTATTAAGGAAACATTTCTACAGCTAACAACCATCTCATGCAAAGCTTTGGCTTTTTTCTAGTTCATGTAAAGTCAGATTTTTACGTGCTGCCCTGTTTCTTCTGAAAAACTTGTCCAGGTTCTTTGAAGAACCTATTTTCCACCTATATGTCAAGTATTGATTCTCCTTTAAATAAAAATACAAGTATCTATGATATCTTAATATCTGAATTTTATATAAGGCAACAATTCTTTCATGGTTTTTAATTTTTCTTTAATAAATAAGTGACAGCTGCTGTGGTTGAATTTTATTAGCACCCCTGGGACCCCAGCTATCTTAGGTAACAAATGTACTGAATTTTCAAAGACTCAGAAAACACCCAGTGTTTCCCTGTACTTATGCAGTAAGCTGATACCCTCTTTATTCCCTAGAGGAGAGGTATCAAAGACAGTTGTACTCCCAAACTCTTCACAATGTCCAACCAAGGCAAGCTGAGCTTCTGTTTCTACAGTGAACAAATCTCCTCTTTAAGTACAACAACTTCAGCCTCCCCTTCTCTAACAAAGCGAACAAGGGAGCCCCTCAACAACCATTATTAAACCAGGACTGTAAAATATTTAATTCTTGACATCCCAAGTATATGGCCTCATCACTAAATTGAAGAAATTGACTCTTTGATCACCTTTTCCTGGCACTCCTTCAGTTATTGAATGCATGGTTAAACAATAACTGATCTGAGAAGACCCTCACTGTACAAACCTGGATGAGCCATTCAGGCAAAAGATATTAGAGATAGATAAAAATTACTCTTTTAATCTACATTTATTTATTTATATCATTTACAATTACTTTTTTATAAAAAGTGGAATATCTTCAGAGTAGAATTCTCATTATAAATGGAACAGTCACTCATCCCCAGGGGAGGGACTTGAACTTCAGTCTCTTGTGCACCAAATAACCGTTTCTGTCAAAAATCAGTGTTTCCCACTAGAGAAAGTTTCAACAGAAAACTTCTGTTTTAACAAACAGAAAGAACAAAACAAAAGAGCAAATCTATGCAGTATTTTTGTACTGTATTTACAGGACATTGCCAGTTTCTTTTGTTTTAAATATCTTTTTTACTAAGCATTTGTTTTAATTTAGCATTTGTTACATTCTTACTGACTTACTAGCATATTTTTCTTTTTCACACTTGTTTTTCTTAAATAGGTTTTGTCCTACTACATTTTAATGTATTTACATGTGTTTCTCACATTGGGTACAATTTTCTCCGTTCTTCTTTTCCTACAATCTGTTCTCTATCTAGTTGCTTATTTGTTCTCTTCATATTCGTTCATATTTCAACATTTCGTTTACACTACTGAGATTGAATTTTCAAATTAACACAATAATGCTATCTCTTCATATAAACCCTTGTCACCTAGTCACAATACCTCTTACACAAAAGACTGAATCTACACAATAGGGCTAGATACAAAACATGGAATGAGAAGCATTACCTACAGGAATTGCAAGGATGAAAAGAAAAACGTATTTCTAGCTACTTGAATTCCCACCACGATTTTTCTCTTTGAATCTTTTCTCTGTAATGTGCAGCAGCCCCAAAATACTAGAATTTTAAAATACAAAATTTTAAGTCCATACATTGCTCCTTTGCTCCACACATGCTTGAGAGGTGGGGTTTCTTAATTCTTTTTCCTCATAAATGTTGCATCAGAGACAAACAGTTTTTACTCTTCCCTTAATTTCCTGTTTAGAAGTATCAGCTCATCCTGCTCAACCCACTGCTCACCGATAATCCCAGCTGCTGCATCCCTGTTTTCAGTTTTTCCAAGAATTGAACTGAGAAGAGAAGCAAAGAGAAAAGCAGTAAAGTTGTGGAGTTTGGCCTATTTAGAGGGTGGTTTTTTTTGCTTGTGTGGGTTTTTTGTTTTTGAAAAGCAGGTATTCCTGAATTAGTTCCTGCACATACGACTTTCAAGCACTACTTCTGTAATTCTCAATTTTAATTTTTTTAATTAGAACCTTATCTTCAACAAACGTTTTAAGCTGGCTGCAAAGCCAGCATGTGTTGCTAAGTCACATTAGATCATGGGAGTTTTCAAATTCTACATATCATTATTCACTCCAAATTCCCGTAAGTCTACTAGGAAAAAAAAAATAAAAATCCATGCTCTCTTGCTATTTATCATCTAGGCTAGTTGTTTTAATTCCCTAAGTGATGTGACTAAATCAACTAGAGGACTGAATACCAGAAAATAATGCAATTTTTAACATTATTTTGATCATATGGAGTCTTTACACCCAGTCTACCATCATTTTCTGCATTTAGAAATGTAATTAATATGAACTGTGCCTGAAGCTGACAGGATATCAGCATGTACCTATATGTATTCTCTTTTTACCCATAACCAGATGATTCTAAATACTTTCAGTGGTGTGCAACTTCCATAAAATATTGCCTTATCTAACCAGACACACAACCAATTCTCAGTACAGCGATTACAGGATACAAAAAAACCAGCAACACAATATTTAAACAGTAATTAATGACATAACTGAATTTGATTTAACACAACTGAATACAACCTATTCTTCATTTTGCCTGCAAAAAATTCACTGCAAATAGTATGTCCTAAACATGTAGCACACTTACTAGAATTTTGAGATGCACAAAAAGGGACAGTAGATTTTACAGTAGCTGGAATCACTGAACTAAAGAGAACTACAAATTTAAAAACCGTATTATGGAAAAGCTCAAAGGTAAGAATATAAAGTTTGATGTACCAATGTTATTTAATGATTACATTTTTGTAAAAACATGTTCTCATCCAACAATTGGGACTTTTTCCTGTATTGTTTTTTTAAGAAGCATTCAAAATGCAGAGATAAATAATCTGGTTTTAAGCGTAACAGCCATTTGAGAAAAGAGAGGTTTGATTTCTGCCATAGTGGCACAAATCACTGCGTAAAATAAATAAAAATAACAAAACAGGGAGAAAAAAAAAAAAAAAAAAAAAAAAAGTTCTCCTCAACCAGAAATAACCCTTACAAATTATCTGTTAAATTAGGGTTAGTATCCCAGTTTGAAATACTCAGTCTCTCATGTTACCAAGACAGCAGCATCTCTAGGAAAGAACAAAAATGCAAGCATGTAAGCACTGTACAAAACCCGGAGTAGCTACAGCTATTTGGGTTTCTTGGGAAATGTTTTGGAACCAGCACTAGAAGTCCCATACTGGACCTACCATACACCTGTATTGCACTCAGTAATCCTGAGGTACGTTTTTTTCTGTCTCAATCTGAATCTTGATTTATAACGAATAAAAAACTTTATGTTAGGAAAAGATAAGCGTTACTTTCACAGGACTAGGTTTCTTTTTCTCACTTAGTCTGATGCTTTTGATAGTGAGTAACACAAACAAAAAATAACTTAATGGCCTAATGTTTTTATATGTTTTCTTTCTTTGCTTTATTGAAAAGAAGTACCATTTTTAATCCAGAATATTTTAAAGACAGCTGCAAAAATTATCCATCAACCGCAAAAATTAATCACCTAGGAAAATATGTAATAGTAACAATGACAACAATGATATTTAGAGCAGAACATTAGCTCAACTTGGCAAATATAACAGAAACAATGAGTTTTAAAAAAACTCTTCTCATGTTTATTACAGGAAGTTTCCTTTAGGTTGCAGTGTGCACATGATTAATTACTCCTGCAATGTTCCAATGACAAAAACATAACACAAACTGTCCACTGTCTCTCAAATAGATATAACAAAATAGTGTCAACAAAATATGAATGTCTTCTATTGTCAAATATTGGTAAGTAAATCAGAATGAATTGGTAATTAGTGCAAATCTGAAAATGACTGCTCCTTTTAATAATTAATAAATGAATAAATTCAGTACAAGCCCAGTAAAATGATTGTGTGTTATCATGACAGCCCATGTTACCAATTAGATTACAGAAGTCACTGAGCAGTAATACGTACAAATCAAATGAAATACAAAAGAAAATAATCCAAATTGTAACAAATTTCTGCAGTGTCTTCTGCTGCATCACATCACCTGCAAAGGGCTCTTGTCATAGTATCTGCCATATTAAATGGTGTGCCCAATACAACAACATGACATGCAACTAAATTTTATTTTACTGCAAGACAGGAACTTGGTTCCACCAGAAGAATGTTCCAACAAAACAAAAAAAAGTATCCCCGCCCTCCCCCCATCAGAAATACAATGATCACACCATGACATATAGAATACTGATTAAAAAATTAAAACATCACAGGTTCACAGGTCTTCATGCACAGGCACATACGTGCACATCCACAGCACACATCTTGCATCCTTGAACCTTCACTTACCTCAATAGCTCTCTTTATGTACGGTATCTGTGTTCCACTGTCCAGATCTTCATTAATTATGAGTCTCCTAGCCCACTGACCAGCTCTGACAACACCATTACCATGAATTAGGACCAACAGCTTGTCAGGATTTACTAATGCATCTTCACTCATAAAGATAAAGCTCTTTGGTTCAGTCTCAACTGCATCAACCTGCAATTACACATAACACACATTTCAATGCAGCAATGTAATTCTTTGAAAGAAAACCTTTAGTTAAAAAGTTATCTACCAAATTTATATAAAAAAATCACCATTAAACAACCATTTCAATGCATGTGTGCGCAGGACTAAATAAAAATAAAGCAAAATATGCAACGTAACTTTGAAACATGTAAACATACCACATTTTAGAACAGCAATCCAAGGGACATTTAAAATTAAGAAAAGGGGTAGAAGGCGTGCTTAAGCTTTGAAACATAAGTTGTTTACAAAAATTTACAGGAAAGGAAGAAAGTCCATAAATGAGCAATTGGAGGTGGCAAGAGGGAAAGGAGTAAGTAATTTCTCACCTCTGCCTGATATGCCTGAAGCAACAATAAATTCTTACATAATATGAAAAAAACCATCCTGGAGAGTTCCAAATCAGCCACCTTAACATAAATACTCAATAAGCTACATATAGGAACCACTAGTGTAAATTTGTCTGTTACAAATTTAACAGTATAGGTCTAACAAAATATAGAAATCCAATTTGATTCTAAATAATAGCTTCATTAATAGTCCTCCTGTACCATGGTCAATGCTTAGCCTACTTTGCTATAGGAAGAGAGCAACAATTAGCTTTGATATTCAGCAAATTGCAACCTAATAGCACATTTTGTGCCTAAGAGAATAAAGCAGCACTTTTTGATCAATACAAACTAAAGTTTTTACACTCGGTTTAGCAATCCTGTCCTGATGTAAATACCATAAGGGCAAAACAAATCCTCATGTCTACCTGTTGTTCTCTTTCTACTATATGAATACACAGAAAAGAAAGAACAAAACAGGCACATCTCCCTCTCCTACTGTAATCCACACCCCTCGACTCTTACAGCCTAACTGTCCAGGTGCTAGGAACACTCTGTAACAGAAAAGAAAAACATCAGGTTATGATCCCCATCCTGAGATAGAATTGGCTACTTGGATTAGTTTTGGTAGTTTTTTTCTCATATATGGGTATGTATTCTTAACTACCCTTATAAAAGGAAAAATTATTTCTGCATGCATCTTCAGACTTAACATAGGTCCTACCAAACGTTTTTTAAAAATTAAGTCAATGAGGTTACTTAAACAAAACAAATTTGTAAATGAAAGAACGGTCATGTCTCTCTTCAATATTTGCCATAGCACTGAACACCTTATTCCCCTGCTCCAAAATAAAGTAATGTCTCACAATACTCACTTTCTCTCACACTTTATGCAAAAATATTATAAACAACATGTTCTATTGAAAAGACTGGGGCTACAGTCAGATCATGCTGCTGCTTCTGAAATAGCAGTACTGACACCTTAAAGGGTAAAACAGATTAGGTAAAAAGTCAGCCAACACTGAATTTCAGATAGTACTTGGCAACATGTAACTGACTTCTACCCACAAACTGAATATTTACAACACTATAATTAGGAAAAAAAAATCATGAATTTGCATTTCAGAGTAATCTGCAACTTAGCTGTAGGTTTTAGCACTCATATCACTTATATTGCAAGTGCTAAAGTTTATATAGTAGTATATAGGAAATACCAGCACTTAGTAGTCATAAGTACTAGAAGATACAGCTTAGTTCACATTTCTGCAAATAAGTTAATTTTAAACAGCTAAAAATATGCACCAAAATCATAAAAAAAATTACTTTTGAGTCTTTTCCCAAAATCAAACACATTTAGAGACTTTTTGTTGAGCTAATTTACCTTCAAACAGTAGTAATTTATTAGATCTTGCTTTCACTAAAGAATGCATGTAAATATCACTCCTATACACAACCTTCCTTTACTGACAGATCAACATAGAATACCAGTTAATGTCAGACACATGGAGGCCACATAAAATACTTCATAATTATTAGCCACTTTTTCTTCTGGACTTACTCATGGTAACTGATTTCTGATCACTTAAATCTAAACTGCATAAATACAAGAAAATTATTTTTAGATTAATTTAACAATTTGATTCAACATTGTTATGTACAGCTGAAAACAATTCCAGTAATCTGTAGCTAGGAATGCCAAACCTATCTAAATTATAATGATAATTTACTGTTTAAAACTACCAGTTAATTTTCTTTTTCTTGGTTTTTTTCTCAATGCACAATATTTCCTTAAAGTTTGTGAATGTAGGCAGCTATGGTGAGATCTCTAAATATATTATGAGATTCTTAAGGTTTTCAAACAGTGAACTTACTTTTTCCATGATTTCTGTCTCAAATGAATTTTCACCAAATACAGCAGTACCAATCTATAAAGTATTTCAGCAGCACACTAGTTAGTATTTTGCACAGCTGCTATGAATATATAAAGTAAAATTAAACTACTCTTGAAATCTAATCTTATTGTCATCCATGCTACCACATCAACAATTAGCCATTACTAACCCAAGATTTACAAGACCTGACAGGGTTCCAGGAGTCTTTTATTCAATACACTGGAGGTTTATAAGACTGAATGTTAAAAAGGGAAGAAAATACACAATTACTTTTCTTATTATTTTTCTAAGTATTTTTCTTATTTCAGTTGAGAAACATGACAAAAAGTATAAGCTTTGAGCCTACAAAGTAGGTATAAACTGCAACTGGAGGAAGAACATGGCAAATAAGTGGAATTGAAACTGGTAAGACTCAAAAAAGATTGTGAGAATTGTGAGCAGCTGGTGGAGAGAAAAATCTGCTCATTTGCTTCCCAAGATGAAAAGTCATCTTCTATGTGTTTCAACATAAACCTCATTAATTTACTTTAAAGTCTTCACAGTATTGAGAATCCTGATTTAGAATTTTTCGATCAAAAATGTAAAACTGAGAACTGTTGATCAATATTACAGGCAGCTAATCAACATTTGACTACTACCACAACTAACTGAACAAACCTAAAATCTGTGGAAATTTTACAAGCAAGTATTAACTTCAGTTAAGCAAAAAAACTGGCAAAAGGAATGTGAATTTGAGATAACAGACTATTGTTTCTCAAAGAAAAATAATTCTTCTATGAACTTCTACCCATTGAAGTGAAAGAGGAAAGCACTGATAACTGAGAAGATTCTGCGAAGTGAGACATTTCAGTGCCAACTAAACACATGTCCTGGTTTCAGCCAGGATAGAGTTAACTTCTTCTCAGTAGCTGATACAGTGCAGTGTTTTGGCTTCAGCACATGAATGGTATTGATAACGCCCAGGTATAACACTGATATTTTGGTTTTCTGCTAAGTTGTGTTTATCTAAGATAAAGTCAAGGACTTCCCTTTCCTTCTGCCAGTGAAAAGGTATACAAAATAAACTTGGAGGGAGCCTGGCTGGGACAGGTGCCCTGAACTGGCAAAGGAATATTCCACACCCCAGAATATAAACTGGGGGGAGTTACCCAGAAGCATGCCCAGTCTGGGTTCAGGAATCAGGAGTCTGGCATCTGGCATTGCACATCACTTATTTTTTGTGTTACTGCTATCATTTACCACTATCACTGTATTTTACTTCACTTTAGGTTATTAAACTGTTTTTATCTCAGCTAACAAGTTTTGATTCGTCTCACCATTCCACTGGTGTTTGGGGAGGTAAAAAGAGGGTTGAGCAAGCAGCTGCATGGTGCTTAATTTCCAGCTGAGCTTAAAACCACTACAACATGTTACTAATTATTTAAACTTCCATCTCAGGCTTCCCCAGAAGCTGTCAAAGATGCAGTAAATTTTAGAAGCACTCTGTTTGTCCTCAACAGCTAAAGAAGAGCAAAGATCAATCCCCGATTACGCCACTAGAACTAGAGAAATACAAATACTTGATCTGGTTAAAAAAATTGCGGTCTTCCTTTTACTCCTAACATAACCTCCAATGGAGGGCAAAATGAAACTTAAGAAGTAGTAACTGAATGGCCTCTCCCTAAATATGAGACTCTTTATTAAAATGTTCAAGTCCAGTAGTACATGTTGAACATTATTAGAAGTACAATGCTTTACAGTAACAATAATTCAACATGGATCTTGGCCTCCCTGTCTAGGAAAATATGTTCAGAATCATTTAGTTGAAGATGCTGGCATAATACAATAATGATCTGCCAAGTGGTCTTACTTTCATATCTGAAAACCAATTAATTAATTTTTGTATCCCAAACTGAAGCTGCCACCTAAGAAAGCAAAACAAAGACAGCAAGTTGGACTTTACACACAAGATTGAAAATTAAGGAAGAGAAAATGCCATCATGCTAAACCTTTGAAGCACAGCATTTCCATTCCCTACTAAAATCATGCAGAAAAAAGCACACTCCACCTAACAGTCCTGAAACACATTTCAAATATTCAAAAATCACAGCACTGCCAGCTTCATTATCAGCTGACAGAAAAAGGAAAGCCAATACAACCCTCTGACCACCTGTGACGAAGTTAAAAGAAGAAAGGCTTTTGTACTCATCTGTAAAATATGCACATAAAAAGATGGTGTGTATATATATATATATATATATATATATACACACACACATATGAGTCAGACCAAGGTCCAGGGTCCTGTTTCTGACAATGGGCAGATTGCGCAGGGGAACGGTAAAAACAGAGTGGTTACAGAGTGATTCTTGCCTGGCTTTGACAGCCAGTAACTTTGGAACCTTGCAAGCCACAGTTTATATAAGTGGGCAAGCATGTAAAATAGTTCAAGGCACCTATCCCACCTTAATATCGTCAAATGGTTTTTTTGACTGCATTTATACCTCTCTTTTTGGTAGTATTCTGTAGCAATGACTTCCACAATATAATTGGGACATATATGAAATAATACTGTCTCTTTCAGTAGAGATCTCCTGCCTGATAATTTAAACTTGATGCCCCTTAGGTTCTCTATTATGAAAAAGGCAAAAACCCATTTCCTATTCATCTTCTCTTCACCTTTCATGATTTTATAGATTTGTCATATTCCTTCCTCAGCCATCTATTTTCCAAGCTGAAGAATCTTTGTTTAATCTTTCTTTGCCTGAAAAGAATTTCATGCCTGTGATCATCCTTGCAACCCTCCTCTGTACTTCTTTTTAATTCTTCATATCGTTTTTGATATGGTGTCCAGACTTCATGCAGTGTTTAACATGAGGGCCCACATAATGAGTGGAATGACGATGTTTTTCTGTTTTGTTCTCAATACCTTGTAATTCCTAACATCCTATTTGCTTTGAGGATTTTTGTCTGCCATTGAGCACTCACTGATGTTCTCAGAGAACTACTCACAAGCACTCCAAGCTCTTCCCTGAGTTGCAATAGCTCATTTAGAGGCCACTGTTGTGTTTACAGAGTGAGTTATCTTCCCCATAATTTCGTATTTACCAGAACTGAATCTCCTGTCATTTAATCAGCCAGTTATTTAGCATCAATAAATAATTTCCCAAGTCATCATAATCAGCTTTAGGTTTAACTATCCCAAATAATTTTAGAAGGAAAAAAAACCAGAAAAGTTTGTTAGCTTGTATTAATTCATTTTTTCCTTTTGCTTACAGCTATGTCAGGTCTTAACAGCATTTCACAGGTAACAGTTTATTTCATGTGTAAAATACAAACACCTTTCTCCCCTTCTAACCAGTTAACTCTCAGGGGGACTACTTTCACCTGTGCTTTCTAAAAGCATTTAAGTTTGTGAAAGTTCACTGGAAATATCTGTACTCTTTTATTGACAAGATTTTTCTTCTTCATGTGATCTCTGACTACTGCAATGAATTCTGGATTTTTTTTAAAGAAACTTGTACTAGTTTTCCCCAATTTTCTGTTGTTATTATTGTTGTTGTCATTGTTATTGTGGTGGCGTTGTTGTTGTTAGCTGATTTCGGCAGTAAGTAAATACAAACTGGTTGTTCTGCAGCTTCATGTTTGACTTCTTATAGAACCCTAGGTTTTAAAAAAATCTCTTCCTGGAATTTATTTATTGTACAGTATATTAACTTGTCCTTGGGTCTCTATTGATATGACAAATTTCAAACCATTGCTCAGAATTATATCCTGTCTAGAAAAGAAAGTTAAGTTTGTGGGAATTGGACAAGTAGTATTGGAATTAATTATATCAGTATTTCTTATTTGACCTTGGTGTTCATTTTAGCTGCAGTGCCTCTACTACCTTATCAGCTCTTTTTTATTATTGACCTTTATAACTCTACCAAGCTCCTCAAATTTGGCTTTTCTGAACTTCCAGTGATTTTACATGTAACTTATCAACACTTACACTCTCTTCCAGTCACATCCTAAAAGCTGGTTTATTACTTTTACTAGTGTCCTTTACTAGTTTCAACTAGAGGCTATTGTGTCTTTATTTGGCAGTCTGTCAGTGGTGATTTAAACCTAGCTTTTACACAGCTTTAATTTTTCTCTTTTGTATATGCCTTCATAACCTATTTTTGACTGTGGTGAGGGCTAGCAACACATAACAGCCATTTCTGAAAAATGGTGTTCATATCTCATGTGAATTTTTCCACAATGCTCACAATTACACACCTGTGTATTTTGTGCTTTCTTATTTTGCTCCAAAATGCACTTAAATTATGACACTTCACAGAAGTTTTAAGTAATATATTTGAGAATAGCTTACATGTATTACTGAACAACTGTATCCATTGTCACTACACAATTTCTAAATACAAGAAATTAATCCAAAAGTGGGAACTAGCCAGGACCATTCGTCTTCCAAGCCAAGAAACCCGAACCTTAGAACCAGGCAGATGAATCACCACAGGTGTGACACAGGTGATGGAGGTGCTGTAGCACTTATCCCGAGTTTCTTCATCTTCATGCTTGGGAGCTAATTGATCAGCTTTAGCACTGCTCTACATATATGCATATTCTTCACAATCTTTTTTAGGAATCAAAGAAAGTCCTTTAGCCTTAAAATCCAGGCACTTTGAAGTTTATAAAAACCAACTTCACTTTGAAGTTTATAAAATACAGCTTCATGGTTTCACAGACGAAGTGTGACATGGCTTGAGAAGTCTTTTGATATGTTATCTTTCTGGAAGTACTTTTTGGACCAAAACTTCACCAAGAAAAAAAATTAGCCAAAAAGCTAGAGATTGTAACTAGCACTGCGCCAGGCAGACTGTCATGATGAACCCAATCCTATGCCTGTCTACACAGAAAAATCTGAAGTGGGGAAATGGTATCTCAGTCTTGGCTCGCAGGGCACTGGCGCAAGCACCAGGCTGGGAGTACTGCCCTTCGATTTCTCTGCGGGCTTTGTAGCTCAGCTCCTGCCATGACCATGAAACACTGAAAAAGCCCTTCTAGAAAACCATAAGTAGTTTGGTCAGGTCATCAAAATATTCCCTAAGCAACATTTAGCGAACGGAAATGGGAACAGTGAAATGTTGCAGAACTGTTAAGGCAAAAGACTCTCCTTCCATAGCCTAAACAGGTTTTCCTTTACTGAATATGAAGGTTCCTCTGAGAATGACAGCAATTCAAGATTTCAAAGAGCACAGAAATAATCCTTCATAATGATGGAAAATCTACATAGTGCTGTCACACTCCAGTCTTCCCTGCACTCTCCAATAGAGAATATAAAAATACCTGAACATCATCATATCACATCACATGTATTTATAAACACTCTGATATGTGGGGGAGCACTTCATCTTTCCAAGGGTTGATTAAATATTTTCACTAAGCAACAAAAGCATTTCATATTACATACATATTAAAAATTACTGAAAAAGCATTTTTAAAAAATGACTGAAGAGTATTTTACTGATACTGAATGTGAGTGTAGTCTGCTGCCTGCAAAGACATTTCTGTTCTCTACATCCAGCTGCAGACATCTCAAATATCCACAAATACTTTTCAGAAAGCTTATGGCGCTCCTATTAAAAGCACCACATTTAGAAAATTCTGGTATCTGGTAAGGTAAGTGTTATAAATATGAACGAGACCAAACTTTCTCAGGAGAAAGAGGTTTTCATTTATTTAAACAGCTACAAGGAACGGAATGCCCAGGACAGGCCCGAGCACTCACACAGCGACTCAAAACTAGACCAGTACATTATCCCCAAACGTACTGGGCTCTCCCCACAAAACACGCTTCCAAAAAGAAACAAGCCCCATCAAACTTCCCCCTTTTACAGCCCACTTTGAATCCAGGATTGGTGGATTTTGGATCCGCATGTTGATTGGTCCATTTCCAGGCTTCTCACTGGTCTTTAAAGCTGTTTGTTCTGGACCAATCATTTCTGCAGGGCATTGAATGATTGCTCAGATCTTCCATCCAATCTTCTTCAACCTCACTCTGCCCCACTGGACTGCCCTTCCACCAAACCCTGGACCCTTCCTCCAGCACATTCTAACTCCTACTTTTAACATAACACAATTAATACAATATAATTGAACTCTAACATAACTTTTACTTATACTATAAGGAAAGTTCAGTTGGAGAAATCAAACACGAGAAGTGAGGTGGAACGTATACACACGCAAAATGCAAAGACAGTGTCCTGAAACAATGCCCTGCACAGAGCCCTGGCACACCTTGTCTTTATATGAATATAGGATCACAGGATATGCTGGGTACATATTAAAAAAACTTTGCCCTTGGAAATGCCCTTATACTTACTGGAAGAGTTACTTTCTTCAAGTGGCATTCGTTCTGCAGTAGTTCATAAATGTATTTAGTAATGATCTGGAAGAAAAGAAAAAAATAGAAATGCCATCAGATACTACAACACATACAATAATGACATACACAGACAGATGACTTAAAGGCTAATTGGTTAAACTTTTAAGTACTTGTATATGTTTTGCCACTTTCCTGAATCCTCTACTGTATAAGTAATTATAGGACTTGGAGCTTTAGACATAAAATTCTCTCCATTTCACAGAAAAGACTTCTTGCCACTACAATGGGAGGGTAACTGTACCTGTGAGTCCATCATGCACTACTGTGTGCATAATTAGGTGAATAACCTCAAAACTAAGGTTTATAACCAATTAATATATACTCAGGGGGCAGAAGAAAGGCTATTATTGTAAAGATACTTGTAAAGCATTTTGTCTACTAGCAGATTTCTGGAATTCTCTCACCTCCAGGTTCACTTCATGAGAGCAGATTTGTAGCCACCCTCTGCTAAGTTACCTTGCCATTTCTACTCACTGAACAGGGGAGGTATGGGTCAAAGATTGCTAAATAGAAGAAAACACCATACAGATTGCCCACTATGGGGCAGTTTATGTCTGTTTTCCCCATACAGGAATAAAATTGACATTTCAATCCTGAAAACAAACGTATTGTTTCAGAAAGCAACAAAATGAAGAAAGAAAAAAAACCAAAAACCAAACAAAACACCAAAAAAGCCCACAAACAAAAAAAACCCCAAACAAACAAAAACAACATAAAAACCCAAACAAAACCACAACCCATCAGAAAACAAAAAAAATACGAAACCCACAAACTACACAAAAATCAACCCTGTTGCAACAAAAGACTTGCCCTCTTAAATGTAATAAAGTTGTTCACATTTCAAATTCTTGTCTCCTAATCTAGGGACTTTTTTTCTGCCCTTATATATTCTAAGAAAAATGGAGACGCAGATTAAGTAATTTCTAACTATAATTAATGTGGGAATTAAAGTGAGGAACAAACAGGCACTTCATCCATTTGAGGTTGTAAAAATGGGGTGGACATTACTGCCTGGATTTCAATGGCTATAAGAGTTTGGAAAAAAAATGAAGGCAAATTAAAAAGGTAAAATATAGGACTCATTTTAAGAGGCTGAAATGGTGCTTATCTTCTCTCTAAAGCTCAGGGAACGGTATTTAATTCCAGACAGTACAAGATCTAAGTCTCAGAATATTAATCCAAGAATATCTGGGTACAAACCCAGAAAATATTCTTTAGATTACCACTTCAAGGCCACAATTACATCCATCTGAACCCACAGTGTATTAAGCCCCAACAGAAACATTGCTGTTACAAAGGTCTCAAGCGATGGCATCTTAACTAAACACTATCATCCAAGCAAGTAGGAGCCAGGGTGTCATAAACTTCAAATTTCATTTTCCAAATGTACAATTACAAAAAGAAGTTTCAATGAAGTCCAAAAGTTTTTATTACGTAAATGAGAGGAAACACAATATGCAAATGTTTGGAACACATATGAACAAACTGAAGTACCAATGAAAGCTAATTAAAAATGTTGGTATATGCCCCTCCTTTCCCTTCTCTAAAACCCCAAATCTTTATTAGGATTGTAAGAATTCTTTCTGATCCTGCTCAAATACATTTATTGGTAGAATTATTTCAAACAACTTTATGGTTTACAGAAAATCAGTCCTTCTGAACATTATTATCTACACAGAAACTGCATTTGGAGAAGGAATTCAGCTGCAAGCGATGAGTTGATTTAAGACATGTTTATCCCCAAAGCAGTATGCTTGGAACACGCATACAGTGTAATTTTATCTTCAGGGCCAAACTTTTTATGGTTCACCGAAATCGACTGCAGTGTAACACCAACCAGTAAAGCAGTTAAGTTCCTGCAGTCTCAAATGCTAATGTTGTACTGACATTAAAGTGAGTATAATGATAACACGGACTACAAAATAGAAATTTTGTTTTTAACTCCCAATTCAGGCATCTACTCACCATTAAAATCACTAAAAGAAAACTTGGAAGAGAAAAACTGCTATGCAGAAAATATACTTTAGACACCACTTGTGAAAGTCTACCCTATTTACATCTGTTTGCATCTATTTCTTCTATTCTTTCTCATTTATTTAGACTTGTGTCTTGAGAGCAGAAATAAACCTTTACTCATTTTTTCCACATCCCATCTCAATGGGGCTGTCATTCTAACTGACTCTTTAAGCACTATTCTAATACAATAAAGAGCAATACAGCCTTAAAAATGAGAGTGTTGAATCAGTAGAACACTGGTGTGCCAAAGACTTAACCTGATGAATGCTTTCAATAAAAGCAAACATAAAGAAAGATACAGGAGGAGGAGGCTCACATGCAAAGTCTGAGATTATCATCTTCAGACAGCTCAGCACCTGGATGGTCTGAATTGCCCAGGGAGATTTCAGGAAAAAACACCATAAAAAACCCCCTCAAACAAAACAACCCCTAAAACTGCTCCACTACATATATATATATATATATGTGTATAATGTGTGTGTGTGTGTGTGTGTACATAGCCACAGAATGGGTTGAAGGCTTTTTTGCAGTAGATCAACATGTTTAGGGATATCCTAGCAATGGATGGTACACTATCAGTCTTAAATGATGGAAACTGATACACAAGATTTCTTGAAGTGCCATCCAAGTCCAAAGTTTTCCAGATTTGAAAACATCACTAATGGTCAGACTTCCTGCATTCTACCATAGATGTGCCTGGAAAACTTGACAAAATTTGGTCCTGCCTAGGAAAATCTAGCAAAATTCTGTCCTATCTAGGAATATGGGTGCAAGTACTGAAAATGCTATACATCCAACACTATCTTTCGATTTTAATGCTTTTAACAACTCCTTCTGATTTTATGGCTGATGATTAAAAAAAGAAAATTATTAAAATACCTTTCCTACAGGAAGTAAAAAGAAAAGCAAACCGTGTGTTATTTTTTACATAGAACTAGTTAGACTATTTCAAATCTATACAATTTATATAAACACAGCTTCTCTAAGTAGCAGTATTATCTTGTGCATGCTAGTGTTCTACATTTAACATCTGAAAACTATTGTAGAAACTACTGTAGAATGTTGAGAAGTGTTTTTTGACTTCTTGCATGAGTAGGTGGTTCTGGTTACACTCTATGAACTATCCTGGAATAATTACTCCTCAGTCACACAGCTGCTCATCACTGCAGGTGTATCATGAGAGAGGCTGATCAATTCAGTCCTGCATCAATAAACCAGCTGAACTATCAAGTAACAAATTGTTTAGATCCAGAGATTCTTAATGCAAACTGTAACACTTACTCAAGAGCCCTATTGACGTTAGTCATGCTAACCTGGGATAGCTGTACTTTTTCTAAGGCTCTTGAAACTGGTTAAGGTGTGCCAAAGCTGTAAGCAGAATACTGCACTGTAATACAAGGTAATAAGGTGGCCAGAAAGCAGGCATCACTGTATCCAAGACTGCAAAGAAACAAGAACCAATAGTAAGACCTGCCCACAGTTTATGAAATTAATTGCCTGATAAATGGAGAAGAAACTGACAGTTTTGTATTTCTTGTATGAGACACTGAAAGCTTCCACCTCATATTAGAGTATTTCTGTACTTCATTCATATCCAAGTGCCGTCTATCAGGAAAATACATCCCAAATAAGACAAATATCTGAAATTAAAACTATCAAGGTGTTCTTACTGACTGTTGAGCGAACTGGAGGAAGGGAAAAAAAAAAAGAAACACAAATACAAAAAAAATTCCATGCCTCTCATGACTTGCTCTGATAGCAAGGGAGACATCCTTTCCATGGAAAGCCTAACACTTTGGCTGTCCAAAAAAGGTTGCACTCAAACTGAATAATAGAGGAAATTTTCTTCCCAGACCAAAGCAGTCTTGTCTGGAAGGATTCTACATTGCTTGCATTTCAAATTGCTCTCATTGAGCAGAGGAGCCCTTGTTCTGCTTTCCCTAAGCCTGAGAAACTTCTGCCCTAAATGAAATCACAGCTATTCTAATTTTGTTGCACTAAAAAAATTCCCATAATGAAGGCAAGCTGATGAGAGCAGGGATCACAGCTGAGTAGAACACATCCTGGGCACTAAAACCAAGTATATTATCCTTGGTATATTAAAAGCACAAGTATCTAATCTCTGCTGTCATTTCTTTGTTGTGTTTTCCTTCATCTATGGTTGAGAGCCTTAATACATATGGTTCAGGAGTGGAACCAATCTTCAGTGCTCACAAGCGCCTTTCTGAGGAGCTTAAAATAAGTCAGTCATGATTTATGTTGGATATAACAGAGAATCCCTCCAGAAGTACCTTTTCAAAGTGCCAGTGGTCTCAAATACATAATCTGCAAAGTCCAATAGCCTTAGGGATAACTGGGGGATAGACCTATGTCATGGCCAGTGAGCCTTCATATGGATCCAGAAAACAGGCTATTTTAATCACAAAGAAATTAAATTTAATGTCTTGGACAGAAAGCAAAAAGAACAGAGAGAAGCACCTGAGGTTTTACCCTTGCATTGCGAAATATTCTGCACAATGATAGCAGGAATATAATGCTGCATACACTCTGCAGAGCAAAAGTGAAACAACAGTTGGAAACCTAGCTCTGGTATACACCAGATATGTGGTTTATGGGTTCTGGTATACATATATATGTAATATATTAATATTACAAGTGTAATATAAATTAATTGTCAAGATCCTGGCTTCCTACAACATATGTTATTTTGAGACTACGGTTCATAGAGAGAACTTTCTTACAGATTGTTTTCAATGACCAAAAGCATTAAGAAATTTTGTTATCAGTCTAATTTGTGAAATCCTTGCAATACAGCATTCTGAAACTACACGATCAAAAGATTCATACCTGTATAGAAGTATGTGAAAACAGAAATTAAAGACTAAGAACCAGTGAAAGCATAAGTTCCAAAAATCATAAAGGTACTGAAGTCTAAATAGAATTAGAAATGGAGACAGGTACCAAAGAGACACTTCAATGCATTAAGT